TAGTAGAGGATAGGGAGGTAGTCAACAACAAGGAATTGAGTGTAATAAACCACTTAAAGTCTACTATAGAAGGGGGGTAAATTGGAAAAAGATTGTACAGGGGCAAAATAGTCAAACTGTGATGGGGTAGAATAGACTTTTCCTCTTCACCACTTGCTTAGGGAGTTATCGGGGAGGCAGAGGCTGTTGGCAACTACTGCCACTTGCAGACTGTGTAACTGCAGCAACTTGCCGAAGGTGTAACGGGCAGGTGCACTAACAAATTGGCACGTCCTTCCGGCCCGAGCTCAGCCTATATAAAGGCCTTGAGTTTGAATGAAATGGACCATGACCTCAGCTTACCGCTTGATCATCTTCTTCTTTCTCTCCTCTCCCTCTTGTTCGAAACCCGGTCCAGACCATGAGCAAGGTCTTTGACAAAGTGGTCTCAGAGCAATCAGAGTCGGCGGAGATTTATCCTTCTCTCTCTCTCAATCATTTTTCTTCGCTCTTCTCTTTCTTCCATTCGAAATTCAGTCAGGACCATGAGCAAAGTCCCTGACAGTCCTGCAACTAGAAAACTTTGGGATTCAACCTTCTATTTTCTTAAGCATGGGTATGTGGTTGTTAGTACATCAAGGGTGAGTTATGTGCATGGGATGGAATCCTGGCAACAAATTTTAGAAGTTTTTATCACTCATCCCCCATGCAATTCACTTGGAAGAGGAGAACAGTATTAAAACTTTTCCTTCCTCTTTTGTTTCAATTTATGACCAATTGCTTAGAACCCATCAAATGTTGTTTGAAGGCCAACCCCTGATTGATAGGGTTGATTTTGCTGGCATTAAAGATATTTTTCTCTCTGAGAGATGTAAATGTTTTTCTCAATTGGTGGCACCCCCTTGGTCCCTTTGGATGACATTATCTTCTTCTCTGAAAAAAATTGATTGATTTTTTTCTTTTCCCATAATGGATTTGGAGGGCATGAAACTATGAATTCTATACAATAAGTTTTATTGCCTGTTTAAGATGCACAGCTGGTGCAAATTGAAAAACAATTGCTTTGAATAATTCTTTTTAAGGAGTATTCTGAAAGACCATGAACTCTTCAACAATTACAAAAAAATGGGTTTATGATAATTCTATCATTTTGTTGCACACAGTTATCTGAAGAGGGGAGTTAATGATCGAGGAAGAGTTGCAAATGATGTTGAAACCGAGCAGATTGTCCTTGATGAAGAAGCTGGTTTGTGCAAGGGGAAAATGAGCTCTGTTGTGCAGATGCGTGGATCAATACCCCTATTCTGGTCTCAAGAAGCTTCAAGATTTAGTCCTAAGCCTGATATAATCTGTAAGAAAATAATCAGATGTAGTATGTTGGTAGTTTCTTGAGAAATAAGTTTTATCATATGAGCACTAATTTATCCTATCCTGGTCCCAAGAAGCTTCGATATTAGTCATAAACCTGATGTAATCGAGAAGAAAATAAATTTCATGTAGTTTGTTGGTGTTGTCTTGAGAAATAAGTTTTATCCTATTAGGGCTAACATGTTTCTGTTTTCTATAGATAAATCTCTTGATGTTTTCTTTGTTGCTTCAGTACAGAGGTATGATCCTACATACCAAGCGACCAAACTGCACTTTGAGACCTGGCAAAGAGATATGGCAACCCAATCATTGTGCTTAATTTGATTAAGGTTA